CTCATCCCCAAGATTTCCTCTAAATATAGGAGTCAACTGACTCCTTTATTTAGAGCAACTCTCATTTTTCAGCATCTCTTGCATTTTCTCCAGCTCTCATGACTCTAGCATTTGACCCTTCATGAATGGCAAAATAAAATAATATACCGGGTGCATCTCAAATGTGGCTCACGCCTTTAACTTTTTTATTTTTTCAGATGGAAAAACGCGATTTGGTATGTTAGTATATGACATAAAATAGGATTGATTGACGTATTCAATTGTGTTTGGTTACTTCCTGTTTACCGGAAATTACTACAGCTTTTGATTTGTAAACGGCACCTTGGGTATATTTCGACTTTATTCGATAGAAAATGACGCTCTCAATAGAATGACATTTCATATGGCAACGCATTGAATCGTTTTCGCATTGATTTATTTGAATTTGTAACATGCGGTTCATAACGTGGTACCAAATTATTCATAAAAAATTGCTTTTTCCAAATATGCTAATGAGCCACCCTCGTTCCATTTGAAAAAATTGAGATATGATTATAAATACGATTTGGGCATCTTTTAACAGGCCAGGATAAGACACGAAAAACACTGGACCCTTAGATCTATTTTTCCAGGACTCTCTAGATTGAAATTTAAAATACGATTTTTTTTTAGTCGAAAATGTCAAAAGTTGACATATGATATGTCATTCTATTCAGAATGTCATGTTCTATCGAATAAAGTAAAAAAATACCTAGGGTGCCATTTAAAAATCAAAAGTTACAGTCATTTCCGGTTAAAAAAAAAGAAATGAATTCGTCGATCAATCCTAATTTATGTCATGTACTAAAATACCAAATCTCGTTTCTTTATCTGAAAAAATAAGAAACTTATAGGGGTGGGCCACTTTCGAGACGAGAGAGAGCTAAATTATTTGACTTTTAGTCTCTCTTTCTTAATTAAAAATGGAAGTTCCCATATCTTTCAATTATACGCGGAAAAACAAAATATTGATATTTTGGTGAAAATTTGAAACACCCTGTGGAATATATTAACAACGCAAGGAATTTAAAAACAATTTTATCATCTAGGTACAGATTTTCTTGATGGTTTGTTTTTTGGTTTATCTCAATAACTTTATTTTTGTTGAGGATATTCGCTTTTGGAGAATTTCGCATTTATATGATATCACCCACATATCCTGGCATCCAAATTCAGCTTTTGCTCTGCTTCTAAGCCAATCTTTGACGTCAAGACTTCAGAGGAAGCAGAAGAATGATTTATAGTCAAATCACTTTACAGCTTAATACTCGTAGATACTGAAGTGGGCAATGTTTTAGAGGGCAGTGAAAGAAAATTTGTAAATAGTGTCTTTATTGAGTTAGATATCTAACAATAATGACACAATGACACCCAATGATGTAAGGCCATAATTATCATATAATATTTTAAATGATTTTATGCCCATTATATAGTTAATAAGTATGTCTAAGATGACAAAGGACGATTTCATCTAAAAACATCTAGAAGACATGGAAAAATTGACAGGAAAAACAATTTACTTTTAAATTAAAATGACAGAAAACAACTGTCACTATCAAATATTCTCTCGCTGGACAGATTGTAGATATTTTATAGTTTGTAATTCATTCAACATTCCAGTGAAGAGGAAACTCCGTTACTTTTAAATTAAAATGGCAGAAAACAACTGTCACTATCAAATATTCTCTCGCTGGACAGATTGTAGTTATTTTATAGTTTGTAATTCATTCAACATTCCAGTGAAGAGGAAACTCCGTTACGATATTATTGACGATTAGACATATCAATCAATTATAAGCTATACCGACGCGACGTTCAAAAGGGCGTACGTTAACATAACTCAAAGCCGAGGCCTCCAACAATATAACGCCAGATACGCCTAGTTATTATATGCGCACTTATATATATCTAATAAAAGTTGAAATGGCATCGTAAAACACATTCCCGATACGAATGATAAGTATATATCGGCGCGAAAACCAAAAATATGGCTGAAACACCGCAATCCCATTACGGACCGAAAAGGCACGGCAATAATTTCATAAATTCTCTGCTCTCGGCCGGTACTACTCCGCTTATAATTTCTTTACGCTCTCTGGTTTTATTAGGAAGAAATTTATCTTCACGCACCCCGTAGATTTCTGCATCCATCCCGGCGGAGTAGGAAGGCTCGCGATGACGACGACGACACGAAGTGCAACATTAGACGAGACGATTTTATCGGTAGTACCTGGTGCGCTCTGTTTTCAGGCTCTTAGGACCTTTTTAGACGTCGTTAAAAACATCTGGTAGTACTTCTTTAGAGTACCAAAACTTTCTGCAGAGTGACAATTTGAAAAGGAGTATGAAAGAATATCTGAGCAACAGAAGTCAACTTGTGAGGGTGAATAGCACGTTGTCTTCTGCAAGCCATTAGAATGTGGAGTACCTCAAAGCTCAGTACTAGGCCCTATTTTGTTTCTTCTTTTATTAACGACATTGCTAACATAAACATCAGTGGTAAAATATGTCTTTTTGCGTGAACGACACTAGCTTCACTTGGAGCAACAAGAACATCACGGCACTTCATAGGATTATATCAAATGACTTAATCACCATTAAATTTTGGTGTGATTCGAACCTCCTGAGTCTCAACATTTCTAAAACTAAAGCTTTGTCGTATAAAAACTCGTTGCAGCCTTTTATACTTAACAACACCACCATCGAAAAATTAAGCTCTGCCTGTTTTGAATTAAGTTCTGTTTCTATGGAGCTTAATTTGTTGGCATAGAACTGTTTATTATGCACTTTTGAGTCGCACCTCAGATATGCCCTTCCATTTTGGGGTGCGTGTTGTGCGACTCAATTTGACCCAGAAGAGAGCTGTTCGATATTCACTGGGACTAAACAGCAGAACTCATTGCCACGACTTTTTTAAAAAATTAAAAAGATTAACTCTTTCTTCCTTATTTATATTTGAATCCGTTTGCCTAATACGTAAGCATGTATCAGCTTCTCAAGAAAGGCCATCTCACACTTATCCACTCAAGAACGCGGAGCAAGATCTTTGTCTACCTACCCCACGCTCAGTGTTAGTTAAAAGTTCAATATTATACAACTCGAAAAAAATGCACAATCACCTGCCATTTGAAATCAAATCCATAACATCATTTTCTTCATTTCGCAAAGCATTGAAATCTTATTTACTAGACAAGGCTTTCTACGCCGTAAATGACTTATATTTTGATAATCGAATTTGATCTTGTAAACACTGGTCTAATATTTACTATTACTATATTTACTATATCTACTATAAACTTTCAAAATATTTTTGAATCTTATTTTTATTTTTTTTATTCTTTGACATTGTAAACATTTATAAATGTTTATTTTAAACAATAAGACTGATAATGTAATTTGTATACTTGTTTTGTATTCTCTTTTGTTTGTTTGTTTGTTTACTTCACCTTTGTCTACAAATTGTAAAATTTTTTGACAATAAAGGCATTTATTTATGTTTAAACAAAAAATACTATTAGAAAGATCTCAATTATTCTCAGTCTCAATTAGTTATAGTTGGGGGTTGGTGCTTTTGGTGGTACAACAGCAAAATGTAACACTAATTTACCATAATACGTCGAGTAGATAATAGTACAGTTTTTTTATGCTTTTTTTTAGTTTTTAGTTAAAAACCATAATTTCTTGATAATGTGGCAACATAGGTAGTAGATTAAATTTACAAGTAAGAAACCCCAGAAAATATCCAGCGGTTTTCAAAATTTAAGCAAAAAATTATTTTTTTGGAAATTTTCAAAGTAAAATAACTCGAGTTCATTGTACAACGATAAAAATTTTTTGCTTGTTCTAAAATGTTTAATCCGGTTTATACTTTTCCACATTTCCATACCGTCTTAGAGAAAATTTAAGAAAAAAAATGAAAATATGGTTTAATTCATTCCAAAGAAAGTCCTAAAAATCAAAAGCTATGGTAATTTAATTTCGACTTCATTCTTTGATAGATGGTTATTATTATTTTTGTTTTACTTAATATTTTTGCTGTTTTAAAGTATGGCATTTCCCAATAATTATTTCACATTCCGTAGCATTGAACTAAATAAATTTTGTGCTTTTTTAACGTTTCAAATCAGCAAAAATATGTCGTTAATTAAAATTCTATCAATAACAACCAATCAAAGAATAAAAACGAAATTATATTACCATAGAAAGGGGTGGGTTTTGATTTTTAACTATATTTTAATGTTTTTTTTTTATTTTCTTTAAAAGTAAACTTAGAAAAGTATAAACAGGATTAAGAATTTTAAAACAAGCAAAAATTGTTATGAAAAAAGCATTTTTTTCAAAATGTCAATAATAAAAAAGTGTTTCCTCTTGTAAAGACACAATCCAGGGACATCCTGTAGTTATATCACTTTAAGAGCAAATTAGGTCTCTTGTTTTAAATAGGACGCTCGGTATATATTATTTCGATATTTGATTCAC